AGAGCTCGGACCTAGTTGAGGTGATGACTTGCTCAGGGGCGTTTCGAGTTGTAAGCTTTTTCCCTGAGGAAATTTCCCGAGAATCATTTCAACTCTTTTCTTTGGAGCTGGGGGTGGCGAATCTGTTTCCTTTTCAGGTGATCTTTCACGTTTCGGTGAGGTATCTCTTGAACCTCTTTTCTGATAAGGGGGTGGTTTTCTCAATTCCACGTCCTTTATTTCTCCAGCCACAAATTTAGCGGCCAATTGTCGTTGGAGGTCCCAACAATCCTCGGTTGAATGACCTTTTCGGTCGTGATAGGAGCAATGTTTGCTCTCATCGTATCCTTTTGACCAAGGAGCCTTACCGGTCGCGGCTATGGATTTTTCCTCTTCGCCCTCTTCGACCACATAGGAATGTTCTCCCTGGGTTTGACTATTTCGGGAGTTTCCCTTTTTGGGAGGTCCCTTTGTTTCATGAGTTTCACCTCTTGGGTGATTCTGAGATTTCTTGTGTATTTTGTCCAATGCAGCTGTCTCTTCCTCCAAGGTAATGTATCTTGATGCTTTGTGAAGAGCATCATCGATAGTCGGTGGAGGATTGAGCGTTAGCTCTGACCAGAATTCCGACCTATACCAGAGACCTCTTCTGAGGGCCTCGATGGCGACATGATCGTTCGGGTTGGAGAGCTTAGTTCTTACTGCTCTGAATTTTTCGATGTAGACTCGCAATGAATCTCCCATTCCTTGTCTAACTTTCCAGAGGTCCGCCTCGGAAGCTTGTTTTAGGATATGAGTATTGTTTCATGAAAGCGTTGGTCAATTGGTCAAAACTGTCGATTGAATTTGGTTCGAGGCTAGAGAACCATTCGAGGGCTGTTCCGACCAGATTTTCGGCGAATGTTCTGCAGTAACCTGCCTCACATTCCTCTCTTGTAAAATGAGCTTTCACGATCGCTAATCGGAAGGCTCTTAAATAGGCCTTTGGGTCCGATGTCCCGTCATATTCAGGGATCTTAATTTTTCGTGTATCTCTTATATAAGAGCTGGCAATCTTGTCAGTAAATGGAGTCCCACGGGTTTCCTCGATTAAGCTCTCGATCTCAGGAGCTGAACTTGTCGCTTTATGGACTTGAGCGTTTAACTTTAGGAGAGCTGCGTGGGTTTGCTCCATATATCTGCGGATGGCGTCAGGTCCTTCCATGGGAATGACATTTGGATCGTTGTTAGGAACCCGACGAGCAGGTACCTGACGGAATCGGGTTCGTTCATCCTCCCATGCAGCTGTTGGGCTAAATTGCTCGCTAGCATTCGGGTTGTTCTGACGAACGGGATCTGCGGAGTAAGTTGCGGGATCAGCTTCTGCCCCTTGGGGAGTCTCTGGATTTGGAGCTCCACTTCTGGCTCGGTAAGCCGATGCTGAGGCCCTGACCTCGGATGGGAAGGTAACTCTTTCTCCAGACCTAAAAATAGGTGGCGGAGGTGGGAAGTGAACGTCACGATCACTGGTCCGATTTGGCGTGGAGCTGGTTGTCGCCACGTTGCTCCCCATAGCACTAGTCACGGGTGGGTTAAACGTGGGGGTTGTTCCACCATTAGGTGTCTGGGAACCAGGTCCTTGCCTTTCGGGAATAGTGCTATCAGGGGAAAAATCTAAACGTCCTCGAGGGAATAAGGGGTCGTTTATCCGATCTCGGAAGGTGACTCCCGATCCCTGACGTTGTTGGGTTGTCGCGGTGAGAGACCTAGTTATCTCCTCAAATCGTTGTTGCCGTGCGGTCAGATGTTGTAGGGTACGTTGATTTTCTTGAGTTTTATCAACTAGTTGCACCATCATCCGGCGCATCTCGGAAAGCTGATCTGCTTGATTTGGGACGGATTGATCCTGAGGGTCCCCTGGGATTGTTTGTCCTGGGTTGTTCCCACTGGGAGCTCTTGAGTTAGTTGCTCTAGTGGAGGTTTGGTTCGGTTGAGCAGCGGCCGGCGGCTGTTGCTCAGATCGTTGACTCACGTGTTGAGGCCCCAAGATTTGGTTATCGGAGTCTCGTCGGTCGGGTGATCCGTCGACCTGGATCACTGGATCAGGGATAGGATTCGTCGCTTGATTGGTAGGATTCATTCTCAAGTCGCAGAGTAAGGGATTCGATTATCTCGTCCCCACAGACGGCGCCAAATGTGAGGGATAAAGTTCACCTCTAAGATTTTTAGATTAGGTTCAGATCAGAGAAGAGTAATCGTGGGCTGAATCCCGTGAATACTTGACGAATGAAAAGATAATTTATATTGAATACTTTTGTGAGAATGAATTACAAAGATGATATAAGTGACTGCCGGAGATAATGAAAAATAAGAGCTACCGAAATATGTAATCTCCTATGAGTAAAATGCTGGATCCCCTCCTTTCTTGTTATTCTCCTTCTTATATAGTTTCTAGCTTCATGTGATTGTTAGTTGATCGTCTTCTCATTTAGGATTCAGGTCCCGGTGGACCTTATTTCGGCCCATCATCACCTTTAATTGTGTAGCTGAAACAGATCCAGCTATCGGGCCGTATTTAGGCCCAACAGTATTCACCACTGGATATACATTTTTTGATGGCCCCATCCATAAAGCAAAAGCATCTTGCTCTCTGGTTTTTGCAAGTCATAAAAGTAACTATCTTAGAGCATGTGCATCCCATAGAAAAAAGAGGCGCTTAAGGGAAAAAGTGGTGTGGGGGGCCACATAAAATCAAAAGCCGACGCCACAAACTCGTATAAGTGTTTTTTTCGTTTGGTGCTTGGCCTTTTTTCAGACCCTACGACATGTGGCGGCGCACAATTAATCCATTTTCAATTTTTTTTTTAAATCCGAAAAAAAATTAAGTACCCCTAGTGGGTGCTCGGATAAACATGCTCTTATTATACAATCATGTGCCAAACATAGCCTAAACATATTTTCTTCACTCATTGACCTTTCATATCTCTTTTCATTTAGTGTTAGATAGATTGCTAAGTAGTAATCAGTGGAGCCATCTCAAAATCTAAATTTGATGTTCTGTGTTAGATGTTTCAATCGCAATGTTTATTTTCTAATTTTTGGGTAGGTTTAGCGATCAAATTGGACTGATGGGAAGACTTTAGACGAAGAAATAAAGAATTATCAAAAATAAATTTACAATAGTAAGAGCTACGATACGCATCAGGCATCATTGGATGGGAAGACATAATAGGATTTTATTCCTGGAAGAAATCCAGTTAATTATATTTTAAAAGGTTTATTACTTCATCATTAACTTCAAAATTTTAATTGCATTTTGTAAAATCAAGAATATGTCCATTAGGCTTTTTATATTTGTTACTGGCCATGCTTCACTTCATATTTGTTACTGTCCATGCTCTGCTTTTTCAACAAGTTGGGGATAGAGTGCATAATTGTTTCCCTGAAAGATCACTGAAATTAAAGAAAGAGGAAAATATGATCCCAACGGATCACACTACAAAAAAATAGCCATATTGCAAGAATGATATATTGTTGCAATATGCTCATCTATTGTTGCAAATATGAAACTGCAATAAAATTGTGACAAAGTTAATTTCTTGCTGTTTGAATGTTGCAAATTCATGTTTGTCGCATAGACGTAGCAAAATTAGCAACATATTGAAATGTTGCTATATATATCGTATTATTGCAACAATTTTTAATTGCAATTTTGTTGTATATTTACAACATATTTTGTAACCATAAATGGTGGCACGTCACTGCTACGTAAAATATATAGCAAACAACATTGCAAATTTTCAATTACTGTTTTTTTTTAAAAAAATTTAGTAATATTAATGCAACAATATATATATATATATATAATTATTTTGTTACAATTGCAATGTATGCTTGCAATTTAAAGTTGTTACAAAATTGGCTATATAAAATATATAGCAAATGTTGTTGCAAATTTTCCTATAATTACTTCTAAATAATACATTTGGTGCCAATATTGTTTGACGTAACTACTATATGGTTAACAATTAATATTTAATAAAATTAGTAGATATCAAATCTGTTGCATAGAATCTGTTTTAGTATTCTGTTATAAGCAAAGTTCGATGAGTTATTTATATGTTATATATATTTTACAAAGTAATTTTATTTGATAAACTAAAATATTAAAAAAATCATTAATAGAGAAAAACCAGAAATAATTTAAAACTAGAAAAAACTAATAAAACCTTACAAAAATAACAAAAGCATCAAACTTAAACTTGGTTTATTGACACCCATGGATAGAATAGTCAGACAAAGCCTTCAAGTTTGCTGAGCGAGCCTTTCTTTGATATTTTCATTTTCTTCAGAAATGTCTTGTACCATTTTCTTGAACTCATCAGTTTCCAATTTGTTTTCAAATGTGCTGGCATTTAACCAGTGTGGAATCAACCAACTGTAGAAATATTTTTAAATACTAAGCATTAATAAATTTAAATAATAAATTATATATGCTATCTCTGAGTTTATTGTAACAAAGTCCAAAAATATATAATTTTTAATACCAAAAATATAGATATAGTCTTTTAATGACATATAAGAGAAGAATATTTTAATATATAATAAGAAAATATCAAATAGTTGTTTAAATTATAGTGATCATATTTTAAATAAATATGATAAATCGCTGACTCACTTAAAATCAAATATAATTTTTACATACTAAAAATTTAGATAATTTCAAATATTTTTATAGTTGAAATATTATAATTATCATGTTTCCAAAACTATTTCTTATTAAAATTATTTAATGGAATAATATTGAAGAAAATTATCTACTAAGCCTAAAATCGTTGAGAAGATGACAAATTAGCAAATTTACTTTTATAGTATAGATTTGTTTCATATTTTGCCTCTTTTTTTTTCTCCACACTAGTACAAGAAAAATAATAAAAGGAAATAATATTGTATATATATCAATCATAATGGTATCGTTTATGATAAAGGGATATTAATATCGAATAATAATAATTTCACAAAAAAAGGAACGAGAAACCCTAATGGATCAGATAAAATCGAATCAGAAGGCAGAGGAAGCTGAAACAGCAAACATCGATCCGTCAGACCTCGTCAAGGTAAGTGATTTGTATTTGGACGTTGTAGAATTGTCTTGGGATCAAAATCTTATCTAAAAGTTGCCTTGTTTCGTTTGCTATTCCTCATCCTCAAAACTTTGTTTTATACTGAACCAAAACCCTCCTGTTCACTTTTTGAATCCCACGTAGATTATTCATGCTTCATCGATGATAATCCAGTTTTCTTGTTTGTTAACAGCTTGTTGTTCCGGAGAAATCGTACGATGAAGAAACTGAAAAGAAGGTGGCGATGTTGTCTTTGTCCGAAGCTGCCAAAGAGATGGTTCCCTCACACTTTGCGGCCTTCCTCGAGAAACAAAAGGTACCTTAATGCATGCATTTGTTTTATCCCACAAACTCAAAATTTTCAAATTTTTGTCTTTTTTGTTTGTTTGTTAACAGGGTGTGCCGGACCTTGACTTATGGAGATTTATCTTTTACCTTGAGGAAGTATTTTCCTCAGTATCGTCATTACAATGGTTTAACATGTTAAAGAAATCTCCTTTGTCCCTTGTGAGTTTTCCTTTTTTTTTTTTTTAAATAAAAAAATCTTTAGTTAGATTCTTGAAGCTGATAATATCTTGCTTAACAGGATCCATTATCTCATATTCCTAAGTCTGTCTACGAAGCACCAATGGATTGGATCAACAAACTTCCAACTGATCACTGTAAGTTTGTAACGTGGGCACTTGATCGACTTCTCACTGATTTGGCAGCACATGCCAGAGGTGAAGAACAACCTTTTGCCAAATCTCAGGTGGCCACATTGGTTGAATTAGCCATGGTGTTGCGTGCTAAACCTGATTCTTTGAATCTTTTATTGTCGATGCTGAGGGGGAGACCTATGTATCAAGGCGAGGACAAGCTTCCGCTTATAGTTTGGATGATGTCTCAGGCCTCCCAAGTTGATTTACCTCTTGGCTTGTATTCATGGGCGTGCAACTTACTGCCACTAGTCGATAATAACAACGTCAGCTCTCACTCAATTGATCTTATCCTGCAATTTGTTGAGATGTGAGTCCTGTTTTTTAATATTTTCTCCCTCTTCTGCTTGTATATGTCTAATCTTGGTTTTTTTTTTCTTTTAATCAGGATTTTGTCGAGTCCAGAGGGTCACGCTGTACTTGTAAACGGAGCTGTTAGGGATGGTGAGAGGCTGATTCCACCTTGTTCATTTGAGATTTTGGTGCGGCTTACATTCCCTGCTAAAGTAGAGGAGGCAACAAAGAGGTTTGAGGCAGTTTATCCCTTGTTGAAGGAAGTAGCACTTGCAGCAGATTCTACTAGTGCAGACTCAATGAAACAGATATTCACTTTTTCCTTGAAATTAGCTGGACAAAAAGGTATTATTGGTAACAAACGAAAACCTTGCTTCCCTCTCTCTCTCTCTCTTGAATATTCAAACCTTGTTGTTGTTTCAGGAAATCCTGCTCTAGCCAGTGAAGCCACAGCAATCGCCATCCGTGTTATGACAGAAAACGTTGATTGCTTTATGCAATGGGATGTTCTCTACAAGGAGAATCTTGAAGCTAGCGTTGCTCTTCTTAAAAAGCTTGTAGACGAATGGAAAGATCATTCCCTTCAACTATCATCATCGTCGAGTAATACTCTCACTGTCAATCGAACTATGAATAGCTTCAGGAGAAAGGTAATAAAGTGCCTCTCTTAGACTCTCTTAAGCTAATAATATTAACTAATTATCATCTCTGACCTAACCTGCTAATATACTATTTGCTGTAGAACGAAAAAGCCATCACTGAAGGAGTAGCCAATCTTTCTCTTTACAAAGAAGCTGACCAGTCGTGCAAACTGATCTCGAAGAGACTCTCCTTTACAAGTTTCAGCCGCATAGATACATGCAATACCATTTCTGAGTTACAAGCCGCAGTAGACAATGAAGAGAAAGGTGACCAGCTTGCTCGGTGTGTGTCCAAAAATATTGATCTTGATGGTTTACACGACGGTTTATTCGACGAAGAAAGGGTAAGTGAACTGGATCTGATTTGTATTTGGATGTTGTAGAATTGTCTTGGGATCAATCTTTTACTACTCGTCATCTTCAAACTTTGTTTTGTAATGAATCAAAACCTCCCGTTCACTTTTTGAATCCCATGTAGATTTATTTATGCTTCATCGATGATAATCCAGTTTCAATATTTTTTTTCTTGTTTGTTAACAGCTTGTTCCAGATGTGGAAGAGAAATCGTACGGTGTCGTCGGTGCAGCAGAAGAAACTGAAAATGTGGCGGCGATGTTGTCTTTGTCCGAAGCTGTCAAAGAGATCGATCCCTCACATTTTGCGGCCTTCCTAGAGAAAGTAATGGTATGTGAAATTCGGATTGTCTAATTCCATAAAAATAGAATTTGTAACTCTGGTTTGTTTGTTTGTTTGTTTGTTAATAGGACGAGGATTGGTATCAACCAGAGAAGCAGATGTTGAAATTAATGGATTACTATGGGATTAAACTTTCCCATGTATCCTCCTTTCAATGGGCCAAGATGTACCAGGACTATCCTTTATCCAAGCTGATTGATGTGAGAGCTCTGCGTTATTATTATTTTTTTGTTTGTTTGCGCCTTTTTGTGTACCTGATGATATCTTTTGCTTAATTAACAGGTTCCGATATCTCTTATTCCCATGTCTCTCTACGAAAAATCTATCGATTTCATCGACAAACTTCCATACCAGACACCACCTGCCGTTGTACTCTGGGGGTCTGAACTCATTCTCACTGATTGGCCAGAACTTGTCAAAGTTTCACAACTTACTTCTAACATATCCACGGTTCAATTTTTGTAATTGGTGTATTATTTCAATTTAACTTTGTTCGACTCTCTTGACTCTAATTTATGTTTTCCTACTTTACTTGTAGGTGGCAATATTTATTGCATTAGCCATGGTGTTGCGTACTAAACCTGATGTTTTGACTGATGTTTTGCCAAAGCTGAGGAAAAGACCTGCATATCAAGGCGAGGACAAGCTTCCGGTTTTAATTTGGATGATGGCTCAGGTTAATGTGATTTTTTTTTTTTTGTGTGAACTAGGACTAACGAGAGTGTGTTTTGTTCAAGTTTCTCAATTTTATAAAATGGTTACAGGCCTCCCAAGGTGATTTATCTGCTGGCTTGTATTCATGGGTGCGTAACTTACTGCCACTAGTCGTTAATAACAACGTCAGCTCTCACTCAATTGATCTCATCCTGCAATTTGTTGAGATGTGAGTCCAGTTTTTTTATATTTTTCTCCCTCTTCTGCTTGTATGTGTCTAATCTTGTTTTTCTTCTATTAATCAGGATTTTGTCGAGTCCAGAGGCTCGGGCTGTACTTGTAAACGGAGCTGTCAGGGATGGTGAGAGGCTGATTCCACCTTGTTCATTTGAGATTTTGGTGAGGCTGACATTCCCTGCTATAGTAGAGGAGGCAACAAAGAGGTTTGAGGCAATTTATCCCTTGTTGAAGGAAGTAGCCCTTGCACCAGATTCTAGCGCAAATGCAGTGAAACAGATATTCACTTTTTCCTTGAAACTAGCTGGACAAAAAGGTATTATTGGTAACAAACGAAAACCTTACTTCCCTCTCTCTCTCTCTCTCTTGAATCTAACCTTGTTGTTGTTACAGGAAATCCTGCTCTAGCCAGTGAAGCTACAGCAATCGCCATACGTGTTCTGACAGAAAATGTTGATTGCTTTATGCAATGGGATGTTCTCTACAAGGAGAATCTTGAAGCTAGCGTTGCTCTTCTTAAAAAGCTTGTAGACGAATGGAAGGATCATTCACTCAAACTATCATTATCGTCGAGTGATACTCTCACTGTCAATCGAACTATGAATAGCTTCAGGAGAAAGGTGCCTTTCTTAGACTCTCTTAAGCTAATATTAACTAATTACCATCTCTGACCTAACCTGCTAATATATTTTGTCTACAGAACGAAATAGCCATCACTGAAGGAGAAGCCAATCTTTCTCTTTACAAAGAAGCTGACCAGTCGTGCAAACTGATCTCGAAGAGACTTCTCTGTACCTGGGTAGCGCGCACTTAAACGAAATTTACTTTCTAAGCCCATGTTTATAAATATCCCGATAAGGGCCAAATGAAAACATAAACATTTTAGGACAATATATAATATGAAGTCTCATTGAATTAAAATTAACTGTAACACCATGTTATAAATTGTCTGTGTCACTGAATTTCAAATATTTTCAAGATCTTCAACGTCATTAGTGCAATATATTCATTTATTGGGTTAGATCCATATTAAGAATATCCATATTATGTTATGGTATTCATACACACGTGCACGTAAAGTCAATAAATACATTCTATGGATTTGTGTAACATTTGATTTTCACACGTCTAAGTCCAAAAAATCTCTTAAATACCGGAGAAAAATCACCGTTTGGTGGATCTCACGGTCACATTCCTCATAGCCGTCGTGTTCCTCGCATCTTCGGTTAAAATCAATAGGCCTGGGCGTTTTTACCCCAACCCGAAGTACCGACCTAATCCCGAACCGAAGAAACCGAACCCGGATCCAAACCATTATACAAAACTAACCGAACGGGACTTATGAGTCTAGTACTTCGGACTTTGGGTATAACCCGAACCGAACCAAAATCCGAAGTAGGATCCGAAGGTATCCGAAATTAGTTAAATATGTTAATATTTTTATATATGTTAAGGTAATTTAGATAGTTTATAATATTATAAATATTTTCATAGTCTATGTTATATGTTATTTTGAATATATCTTAGCTAATTTAGATAGTTTAACTAATTTTTAATTATACTTGTNGAAATTAGTTAAATATGTTAATATTTTTATATATGTTAAGGTAATTTAGATAGTTTATAATATTATAAATATTTTCATAGTCTATGTTATATGTTATTTTGAATATATCTTAGCTAATTTAGATAGTTTAACTAATTTTTAATTATACTTGTGAATAATTTACATATTTTGAATACTATTTTGTCAAATTTTTTCGTTTAAAAAAAATATTTTTGGACGATTTCAGACATTGGTTATAATCCGATCCGAACCGAACCCGGAAGGAACCGAACCGAACCCGATCCGATTATTAACAAAAACCGAATGGTACTTATGAGCACAGTACCGAAAATCCGAAAATCCGAATCAACCAAACCGAAACCTATTGGGCCACCGAACGCCCAGGCCTAATAATCAATGTCGGGCTGGATCTCGTTTTTGATAAAATTGTTATAGACTACTTTTTTGGTAAGTTTTTTGGCAAAGACGATCGTCGAAATAAACAAATGTTTAATATTATGAAATAGTGCACATGTCAAAATTGAGATTGTTGTTAATGAAAAATAGAAATCCTAGGTTAGTGTTTTATAATTTCATAAAACTTTAAATTTTATTAAGTGTAAAAACTAGCAAATGTCTCACAATGAATTTTTGAGTTTGAATTTGGATTTATATTAGTTAGTTAAACATTTATTAACATATACTTCAATCTTATTTTTGAGTAATTTTATATGTTTGTTTTCATATAAAATAGGGCTTTTTGCAGAATTGACCTGAAACTTGAAGTAAACCACAAAATTAACCTCTTTTTTTTTTGGAACTTTATTTTGTCCAATTCACCCCACAAGTTCATATAATTCACGAAAATGCCATCAATTTTTTTTTTTTTTGGTTTCGAAAATAACATATTTACTCTCTCACCCTCATCATCTTCAAGTAATTACAAGATTGCCATTGTCATCAATACTCCAACAACCATGAACAACCAATTTTGAAGCTCTTAATGCCTCCAAATTCCATTTACCCTTCT